CAACGGCAGAGAGAGTAGTGGGAAAGAAGGTGGTACGATGTGGGGTATCGGTTGAGTGCTGGGATGACGAGCTGAAAGCAGAAATAGGGGAACTTCGAGAAGCCTTCAAGCAGTACGTGAGTGAGGCGTTAGAGGAGAGTTGGAGAAAGCATAGGGCCAAGAGAAAACAGGTGAAGGGACCAGTGAAAAAGAAGCAAAAGTGTATTTAGGACAAAGTAGTGCAGAAGGCCAACGGAGGCCTGGAGGGGAACGTCAAGCAGATGTGGGAAGGGATTAGTGGAATGGTAAAAAAGACCGCGCAAGGGGGGGATACAGGGGTAGCAACTTTGCGAGGTGTGAACGGTGGACTAGTCAGCAGTGGGAAGAGAAAAAGGGAAGTTCTAGCAGGACAGTACAAGAGACTTGGAGTGCCTTCGGAGAGTGAAGCTTTTGACCCAGTGTTAAAGAAGGAGGTGGACGCATGGACCCAGAAAGAAGAAGAGACATCGAAGGCAGACGTTGGGAACGTAGAACTAGAAAAGGAGTTCACTGAGGACGAGGTTGAGGCGTGTGTGAACAAGCTGAAGTGCCACAAAGCAGCAGGAGCGGATGGGATAGTCAACGAGTTCATGAAGTTTGGGGGGAAGGGGATGATCCGGCTGATGGTACTGCCGTACAATTGGGTGTGGAAAAATGAGTATGNGTGTGTGAACAAGCTGAAGTGCCACAAGGCAGCAGGAGCGGATGGGATAGACAACGAGTTCATGAAGTTTGGGGGGAAGGGGATGATCCAGCTGATGGTACTGCTATACAATTGGGTGTGGAAAAACGAGTATACGCCAAGTAGATGGAGGGAAGGAGTGGTTGTGAACCTGTTTAAGAAAGGAGACAAGACTGACCCAGGAAACTACAGGGGGATCACACTGTTGAACACAGTAGGAAAAGTGTTCTGTAAGCTGCTGAACGATAGGATAGTGGGAGTATTGGAGAAGGAACATAGCATTAGTGAGGGCCAGGCAGGTTTCCGAAAGACGAGGGGGTGCGTAGACCACGTATTCACGGTAGGGAGAATAATCCAAAGTAGGAAGAGGGCGGGAAAGCCGACATACTGCTTATTCCTGGACGTGAAAAAGGCATCCGATACCGTATGGAGAAATGGGCTTTGGAAACAATGTCCAAGTACGGGATCCAGGGGGAAATGTGGAGAGTGTTGAAGAAGAGGACAGAGTGTACGAAAAGCGCGGTCATGCTAGACGGAGAGCTGTCTACATTCTTCGATATTGAGCAGGGGGTCCCACAAGGTTGCACGCTGTCCCCAACATTGTTCCAGGTGTTCATCAACGATCTGTTGGAAGTCGTAGAGGCAGTCCGGAAGGGAGCAAAAGTAGGGGGCACGGAAAGTTCGGTGTGAAGAATGCTGTTTGCGGATGATTTTGTCGGTATGTCGGACACCCCTGAGGGACTGCAACTGCAAATTGACGCGGCGAAGAAGTTTACTGATAAGTGGAGATTGTCTGCCAACGTTCAGAAGAGTGCCGTCATGGTATGCAACGAGAACAAGGAGGAACCAGTAGAACATAGATGGAAGTGGGGGATCGAGGAGATTGCAGTAGTGGACCAGTACACATACCTCGGAGTAGAGATCGCAAAAGACTGCTCGTGGAATGCACACATGTCCAAGGTAGCGGAAAAGGGCAAATCACGAGCAGGGAAGCTGCATCCAATACTCGCAAACCGGCACCTCGATACACGCATCAAATTGGCGGTTTTGAAGGGCGAGTCGTACCGCCGCTAGAGGACGCCGGGAGAAGTATGGGAAGGAAATAAGAAGGTAGTGAAAGAACTCGAGGCGGCGCAGATGAAAGCAGCGAAAATCATCCTAGGATGCTCCAGGCGCACAAGTAATGCAGCCGTGAGGGCAGAATTGGGGATCCAATCCCTACGGTCGGGAAGAGACGCGAGGAAGCTGACCTGGCAGTATCGCATGTGCGGGATGGGAGAGGAGAGGTTGCCGAGAATTGTATGGGAGGCGAAGTGGGCAAACAAAAAGAGGGGTAGACAACCCACGGAATGGGTCAAGGTTGTAGAGGACGTATGGAAGGGGCTCGACATCGACGAAGATGAAACGCTGGAAACGGAGGGTCTACAGGGGTTCAAGGAGAAGATATCTGTTGCTTGTGCCGAGAGAGAAGAACAGAATCGAAGGAAAGAAACCGAGTNTAGAGGCCGTATGGAAGGGGCTCGACATCGACGAAGATGAAACGCTGGAACCGCAGGGTCTAGAGGGGCTCAAGGAGAAGATATCTGTTGCTTGTGCCGAGAGAGAAGAACAGAATCGAAGGAAAGAAACCGAGTATAAGGAGGGTCTAGGAGTGTACGGAATGTTGAAGGAAGGAATAGGGTTCAAGGATTTCCTCCATGGACCAATGGATGCAGGGACAACGCTTAAGGTCAAATTCAGGACCGGGGACATCGGCCTTCGAGAACGCTAGCGAAGACATAGAGCGGTAGACGACGAAGACGACAAGTTCAAATGTGATTGCGACTTCGAATGCGAAGACCGTGTTCATGTAGTAGCGGAATGTATATGGTGTAAGAAGGAGAGGGAAGTGTACGTGACTGAGCTGGGAA